TCAAAGGAGAAAGAAGTAGCGTGAGAGAGTCGGCCGATCGAACAACACCGACTGACAGTGCTATCTATGTACGTATGTACAGCCAGTCCGCTCTTTTACAAAATGGCGCTCGCGCGAGCTGAGGGCGGCGCCACTTTGTCTTGAAAGGTGCAAGAGGCCGAGCCGCCTGGACAGACCTGCCTGGTCATCCCTTTCAGCCAGCCTGACCGCAGGCGGTCTCTTCATTACTGTGATGCCGCCTCGGCGCAGAACATCCCTAGAGGCATACACCCCCAGAACCGTCTGGAACAAGTACATAGCTGACGTCGTTCGAAGACAAAGGTTCCGCGACGCCAGCAGCGTGTTCTGCCTTGGCAGGCCGCGCGCTCGGCGACCTTACTGGCCTGGCCTGCGAGGCGCTCCGAGCTCACAATGGCCGGAGGGATTTGACGTCGCACCGGTCTGTTGTCAGTTCCTGGTGACCGAACAGATGTATGTATACATATCTAGGCACCGTGCAGGTTTGTTCCTACGTTTGCAGGCCGAGCCTGCGCTTGATGCTGTACCGCCATCGTACTCGACTCGTCATGGAAACCTTGCCACCGTAGCGTTGTTGGGTCCACCTCGCCGCCCCCTTTGTCAGGCCAGCCAAAAGCCGCCAGGATAGCTCTGACTTAGTCCCGACAACTGTATGTCCCTTGCACACCGCTTCACCGTACGGCAGAGGCGGCGAGGTGGGTTCAGTCGAGGCCTGGTCACCGTCCCATTCATGGTACGGCATCCGCATGAAGAGAATTTGACCGGCGCTGTGACCGGTGCCCTGTGTTTCGTCATGGCCTTAGACCATGGACTCGTCTGCCATACGGTTGCGAGCCTCGTCGCCCACCTCCATCATCATTGCCCACCTACCGTAAAGGCTCGACGGCCAAGCCTTTGGTCAGTCCAGTCCAGTGACACTTGGTGGTTGCAGTAGACGTCAGTGTCCCTTTTGTCATCACTCATCTTTGTTCTTGTTCCTACCGTCACCTGTTGCTGCATTCCACATCGGCCAAGCATGTCCGTTCCGACGGTACGGCGAGTGGATACCTAAACTTAGACAGATGCCCGGTCCGGTGCGCGGCGGACCCGGCGTCGGCCTTCGGAAGCTTCCGCGGAACCTTCGTACGTACCACTACTGGTACCTCTTGCTTCGGCATGCCAAGACGCCGGCCATCCATCGGCATGCTGCCGCAGCATCAGCGGGAGCTTCCTCAGCCACATCCCGTACCATGAATCTTCGTGGCGTCGAAAGACGAGCGAAAATCCGCCACGACGAGGCCTGGACGCGCTTGCGGGACAAGTCGACCGAGGCCTGACCTGGCAACGCGCGGATCATGCCCAAAGGGACGACAACGCGACAACGCACGCTTCGGGACACCAGCATGGTCACGGCCCGTAGATAAAGATCACGCGCCAGGTGATCAGAATCGGTTGCGTGGGTTTGGACCCGTTGGCCCGTGGGCGCCAACGTGCACCCTCTCGACCAAGCCTGGGCTGTGGCGGTACGGTCTCGATGAATGCCGCGTTGGGCCTCGCTCTCCCGCCCTGTCCGTCGCCTTGAAGGGCTTTCTTCCCGTCTACCTGACAACCGCCTCGCCGACAAGTCGACACAAGGCGATGCGGCAATCTGATACCGTTCGTATCCTTCTTCCCTAGACCTTGGAGCCTGGACACCCCAGCCCGTGCCACACGTGCCGCGGACCTCAGCAGCCCGATGCGCGCACCCTTCCAAGACAACCTTGTCCTGGATTTCGCCTGCCGAAACAACAGGTACGATGCAAAAGGCGAGCTTAAGACGCCCTCCTTCACGCTCCGTCGCCGAGCTTCTGGAATCAAACCTGCGTAAAGCCGATGACGAAGATGTCCGCCACTTCGAGGGCCAGGTCGGTCACCGTTACCGTGGACTACGAAAGGGTCGAGATCCGTGAGTCGTTGGCTCGCTGAGCATCGCGGGCATCATCGTGGTATCACAGAACCCGACGAGCTCGAACGATCCGCTTGTTTCTGATCGGTGCGATTCGACGTGGTGAGCCGACTCGGTCAAAGCGTGGGCAGCTTCGAGGACAGAGCGCGCTCGCACCGCTGCTCCCTTTGAGCCCGGACCCGTCGCTAGTCCGACGCGCCGTCCACAGATCCCACCGCGGCGTGTCGACGCTCGCACTGGTACG